CTAGAGTCGTCAGATTCATAGAGGTGAACAGTAGAATGGTGGTTGCCTTGGCCAGTGGGGAGGAGGAGTAGGGAGTTGTTCAGTGAGTAGATAGTTTCAGTTTTGCAAGATGAAGAGTTCTGCAGTTTGGTTGCACAACAATGTGGATGTATTTAACACTATTGAATTTTATACTTCAAAATGGATGTAAGATGGTAAATTTTATGACTGTTTTCCCACAAATAAATAATTTTTTTAATTTTTAGAAATTGAGTTTAAAGTAGTCCCAGATTGATGGTGCCCTCTAACTGCCTACAAGAAATAAACAAAACAAACCAACAAACGAATGGGAGAAAAACTCCTCCAGCCTAGGACTCATAATAATTTCCAAGGAATCCAAGATCATAATAACATTTTTTTAATACAAGAAAATAATCTCACATGAATGAGAGCCCAAAGAACCAACAAACAATAAAATCAGGGGGAGAAAGACATTAGAAATTAGATTTATTAATCAAAGGTAAATATTTGTTTAATACTTTTTAAAGATTGAACTGAAAACATACTGAAGGAAAAATAAATTATCAAAATTAACCAAGCAGAATTAAAAAGTAAACAAATAGGGGCACCTGGGTGGCTCAGTCGGTTAAGTGTCTGATTCTTGATTTCGGCTCAGGTCATGATCTCAGAGTTGTAGGATCGAGCTCTGTTTTGGGCTCCTTGCTCTGAGTTCTGAGTCTGCTTAAAGAATCTCTCTCTCTCTCTCTCTCTCTACTCCTTCCCATCTACCCCTTCCCCCATGCTAGCTCTCGCTTGCACTATCTTTCTCTAAAAAATTATACCCTCATCCAAATTATATGCTCATTGGTTTACTAGAGAGCCTCTTGTCAGTTACAGCTAGATTTTCCATAACACATTGCCAGTCAGGGTCTCCTTGCCACAAAACCAAGTAGGTTTCAACACCTTAAATCTAAATGTCTAAAATAAAGAATGTTAAAACCTTAAAAAAAAAGTAAACAAATAGAGGGGTGCCCGAGAGGCTCAGTCAGTTAAAAACCAACTCATGATTTAGGCTCAGGTCATGATGTCTTGGGTGCAGAGATGGAGCCCCATGATGGCTCCACGCTCAGCAGAGAGTCTGCTTGAGATTCTCTCCCTCTGCCCCACCCCCCACGCCTACTCACTCTTCCCCTGCCAAAATAAATAAATAAATCTTTTTAAAAAGTAAACAAATAGAATTTATAGAAATTTTTTTAAAAGGACTATGGTTTTAAGTTTTCTGTTTCTTAATATTATAAACCAAATTGATAGATTAGGCAGCAGATTGATTTTGCTGGAGAGAGAAGTAGTAAATAGGAAGAAAGAACTTTAAGGAAATAGGTCCAATATGCAAATGGATAGAAAAATGAATGAGATGTTAAGAAATCTGCAGGACAGGTCATCAGATCCTACATATCTGAAACTGGAGTTTATGATGAAAATAAGAAGATATGGATGAAGCACTATTTGAAGAGACAATGGCTGAAGTTTTCCAGAAACAAATGAAAAAATACATCTTCATATCCAGGAATTTCAAGCATACACGATAAAAAGAAATTCACACTGAGATAGATCGTAGTGCAGATATAGACTCCCAGAGATAAAGATGTTAAAAACAGAAAGAAAAGGCAGGTTACTTCCAAGGAAGCATAATTAGGTTCAGCTGACTTATGAACAGCAATAACGAATGTCAGTTGAAAATGGAATATCTTTAAAGCACTTAGAAAAAATAACTTTTAGGTAGAATTGTCTACTTTAAGTAATTATTGTAAATCATGTATCCTATTTAATTATCTCCTATAAATGAAGGAATGAAGTCATTTTCAGATACATACATACTAAGTATGTATTACCAAAACAGACACACACTGAAGGAACTTCAAATGATGTACCTTAGGAAATTCAAGGATAAAGACCTGAGGTGAAGAGGGAATGGTAAGCAAAGAAAATAGGAAACAGAAAGGCTAATCTAAATATACATTGACCATCTATATGTTTTATAATAGTAAGATAATGTCTAATCACTGGGATTAAAAAAAGGAAAATAGACACCCATCCTGGAAAAATAATAGTATGTAAGTCAGATGGTAAATGATTGAAGTCGAAGGATTCTAAGGTCTTTGTATTACCAGGAAGGTTGGTAAAATATTATATTTAAAATGTGATATGTTAAATATACATGTTACATTTTCTATTATAACCACTGATAGGATAGAAATAGTATAGATGCCTTCCAAAGTATTAAAGGGGAAAGATAAAATAAGAAGGTGAAAAAAATCAATAAAAGACATCAAGAAAGGATGACATTAACTATGACCAAAAGAAAAAGTGGGGGGGGGGTGCCTGGATAGTTCAGTTGGTTAAGCGTCCGACTCTTGGTTTTGACTCAGGTCATGATCTTGGGCTCCTGAGATTGAGCCCTGCTTTGGGCTCCATGCTCAGCGAGGAGTTGGCTTGAGATTCTCTGCCTCTACCCCTCCCCCCACCCACACACACATGCTCTCTCTCTCAAATAAATATTGAATAAATAAAATCTTAAGAAAAAAAGCGGGAACAAACATTTTAGTAAACATAGTCAATGTAAACAAACTGAAGTTTTCATCTAGAAAAAGAGACTGGATAAAACCCAAAACCCAGCCACGTGCTGGGTGTGTGTAAGACATCTCTAGCTTATAAAACCAACACAGAAAGATCAGGATAGATAGTCACATTAATATCAGATAAAACAGCCTTTAAAACAAAAAGAATTACTCAAATTACTAGAGATAAAGCAGTTCAATATATGTTGAAATAAGTTTCAGTTCTCCAGGGAAGTGAAACAACTTATATGCATGTGATGGCATAGCTTCAAAATATATAAAGAAAAAACTTGAAATATGTACAATAGGAAATTTAAAAATCCACCATAATAGATTTTTAACATACTTCTTTTTTTTTTTGTAACCAATAGATTGAGCAGTCACAAAGTCAGCAAGAATATAGAATATTTGAACCTGGTTACTAACTGTAGTCTAATGGACCTATCAAGAGCATAATAACAGCAGAATACAATGTTTCCAAAAACCCAAGAAATATTTATAAAATTTAAAAATATATATTATCTTACTCACTTGCATGACATACTTCAGACTGTTTAAAAAGTATTAAAGAATCATCCTTCTGGATTAAAGATGCTACATACGTTCTAAATCATACAAGGTAACATTCTCAAATACATTATTTTAAATTCATATGAACTTACCCTAGAAAGTGGTAGGGTCAGAATGTAAAATCAGGAGTCCTCTGGGTCCAAAGATTCTATTCTTCATACTAGGACACACTACTGGGGATCTAGAAGCATCCCTCTACTTTATCAGTACAACCAGAAGATCTTGAAAATAGGCATGTATTGATCTTGGTACCAACCCAGTTGCCAGGAAAACTGCCTTTACCTTGATGTTCTCAGTCTCTCCATTAATATCGCCTTCTCCATTCTGCCACAATTATAACTTTTAATTTCTTTTCAGCCCAGGATTTTATAATATTTCTATTAAGTAGAAGCATTTTATCAATACATTCTGTAGGACTGTTAGTTTATTAAATAGCAGAATGCCAGGTGCAACGATGAGGAGCTACCGGTCTGTTAATATGGCTTTACTCCAATATGCAAGATAGAAATAATCGTGATGTATTATTAGTCTCATTTTTCCTGTGTTAATTCCTTAATCAACTTCATCTGAAGGCCAGTGTCTAGGCTTTGCAATACTGTTAGGCTTCTTCATAAAATGAACTGCAGCCAACATCTGTTCAAATAGTCACTTATTTTGCGGGCCCCTACACATTTAATATAATGTGTTGGGGTTGAGCAGTGAGCTCCACAAAGATATGTCCATGTGTTAACCCTCTGAACCTCTGAAAGTGACCCTATTTGGGAAAAGAGTCTGAAGCTGTGATGACGTTAAGGATCTCAAGAGGAGATCATTCTGGGTTGTGTGAGTGGACACTCAATCTAATGATGTGCCCTTCTAAGAAACAAAAGAGGAGAAGACACAGACAGACAGGAGGGGGCCACATAAAGAAAAGGGCAGAAGCTGAAGTTATGTAGCCACAAGCCAAGGAAACCAGACAATGGAAGAAACAAGGTAGGATTTTCCCCTAGAGCCTTTGGAGGAAGTGCAGCTCAGGCCTCGAGAGCTGTGAGAAAGAAATATCTTGTTTTAAGCCACCTAGTTTCTTATAATTTGTTATAGTAGCCCCTGGCAACTAAGAATACTACCAAACAAATAATATACCCATTTCTATTATGTTTTTTTAAAAAGATTTATTTATTGGAGAGAGAGTGGAAGGGAGGGGCAGAAGGAGAGGGAGAGAGAATCTCAAGCAGACTCCGGGCTCAGTGTGGAGCCCGGAGCCCCACGTAGGGCTCCATCTCACGACCCTGAGATCATGACCTGAGCCGAAATCAATAGTCAGACGCTCAACTGAGTGAGCCACCCAGGCTTATGCCCCAGTATTGTTTTATAATTGCATTTTCCCAAATTCAGATGACTCAAACCACCAGTCACAACAGCAACTTTGCATATTTACGTTCGTGGTTTTCTTCTCAGGGTGAAACCATTCACTTTCCCTTCCCTTTATATTTGCAGATAAATTTCTCACTCTAACTACTGACAAATACTGAGCATCTAGACTTGGCAGCTACTGTGGTATCAGACCCTGAGGCAAAGAAGTGAAGTACACAGAAACAGTTACCATGAAGGGTTATGAAGGATTAAGTAAATTAAAAGAAATGATTGACACAAAACACCTAGAACACGAACAGACCCAGAATCAGGACACAGAAAAGGCAGCATTGACTTTTACGAATGTCTCTTGTAAAATATTGTCATCCAGGTAGTTAGTGGTTTTCTCTAGGTGATTAACGTTTCATCAATCTGATATTATTTATTTGATCATCCATAATCATCTGGTGACTTGAACTAATTTGGAGAGAGTCTGCTTACCTATCGATGTGGGACATAACTGTTTTGGAGATGTCTACACCTGCTTCTTGCAACACTCGGATGATCTGAAATGGTGCACTTGGATTCCTCCCAGGATGAATAATAACAGGACAGCCTAGCTGAGCCTGAGCATAAGCAGTTGCTTGAAGAACTTTCCTTTCATTCTCAGCCAGAGGCCAGGAGCAACCAATTTCTCCGATGACGCCACACTTGATAGTCGTTCCATCGGCCCCATGGAGAATTTCATGAATGAGGACATCAGTAAGCTAAGGAAGAGCAGGAAAGAAAACATTTTATAGGCTGGAATTTATCAACCCAGAGTCGCCACAGTATGTGAATGGATTTATTCCTTCAGCCATTCGTTCTTTTAAGAATGTATTCACCATCCATTCAATTAATATGGGTCAATGAGAAAGGCCAAATCTCAAATTCAACAAGTTATTCTAAATCAAAGATTCAATAATATCTTACTGTGATTATTTAACAAGAAATTTGTGGCTTTAGGAAGCTATAGGGGGAAAAAAGGTGACTTCATGAAAGTACATTCAGATGAGAAAAAAAAAATCTATAATTTAACCTGAGAAACATCTAGAACATAAAAAGACTGCCCTTGAACATACATCAACTGTATCAACTAATCCTTTAATTCTCCCTTATTTATGCAGTGCTTAACCCCATACAGCATAGAATGTTCACAGCACACAATACTAATATGACATTTTTTGATTCCTATGTATATTACTACTAAGAGTGGTTGGAAGAATGTGTAATGGCTGACTTCAGGATAGTCTTCAAATAATATAAGCATATAAAAAGTAAAGGTCTGATTGGAAAATGATGCAGATAAAGTTTTGCAATACAAAGATTTTAATGATTAACTGAATCGTTGCAAAGACTGCAGCTGACATGCTATGCCTTTCAAGTAGGCAATGGATGACACATATAAATATAGCCAATAGGTATAAACATGTATAAACACACACAGACATGTTCAGAAGGAGAGCACATATATATGCCAAGAAGCTTTGTGGCTAATTCTTTCTGTTTCTCTCTGAAAGATTTCCTTCCTTCTGCCCATTCTTCCTTAAGATCATATGATAACAAAAACAGGAGTGGATTTTCTTCCACCCTTCCTGTTTTGTAAAAGAAGGAAACATATTCGCCCGTGTGCCAAGTCTCTGCCTGCCAAGTCTCACCCTACAGTAAATTTTTATTGCTGGTTATTATAAAATCCAGAAAGAAAATCGAGGTTACATAACTGCAGTTTATAATGGGAAAATGAGGTTTACAAACAGGCTGTACCACCACTATGGAGCAGGAATACCACATATCCAAATCTAAGTGTTAACACTTGGGATTTTTCAGTGACTAGTGGGTTAAGCTCTCCTCCCTCGATGCTTTTTTCTTTATGAGACGAAATGTTCCTAATTTGGGTCCCCACTGGCAGATGTCATTGCTAGCTAGCACATTTCTGTAGCAATGCCCAGCTACCTCTGAGTCAGTGACATTCCCCAATGGAGATGGCACAGAGGGAAAATCCAGTGTCTGAGCTTCTGGCCTTTCTGAATTGACACGCAAATATTGTCCAAGTCCTCAGGGCTCCTCACCTGCTCCACTGACATGGCTCTGGTCTCCGGAGAGTGAGTTGCCTCCACGTAAAACCCAGCTCCAGATATGATATGGACACCCGTCTCCTCTGCCAGCCACCTCAGAGTCTTCACATCTCGGCTAATCCCAACAGTTGTGTTCTCCACCAGAGCCCCTCCACCGTTGGCTTTAAAATACAACAATTCTTCCCTTACAGCGTCTGTCTCCTGATTCAGCCAAAGATTCTCTTTATGGGAATAAGGGTTTTTTTGAATCCAGAATAAGTTTTTCATCATAATAGGTTCCTGAGAGGCAGCTTCATGACACGGAGGAGGTGGGTAGTAACAGTGGTCAAAGGTCATTGTCAGATGTTCGTGGGTCAGAGTACGGCCCAGTTTGCTGGGCTCCACGGGGCCCAAAACCGTTTGGACTTTCCCACTTAAGGAAGACATTTCTGGTGATACCAGGAGATGCTCTGAAAAGAGTGTTTTCTGGAAAAAAAAAAAAAGAAGACTACAATCAGAAAATTTAACACACCCATAAATTCCATCCATCGGGGATAGGAGGCTGCGAATGTATACCTGTGTAAGAAAGAGAATCAATTAAATTAGAGATATGATCCCACTTATCATCCTGCCAAAGCCAGAGTCAGTCTCTAGTAAATTGTGGAAGTTCACTGCAGCCTTAAGTGACGTGCATGGTGTTAGATGTCCTCTGGCCACTTCCACTGGAACTCCTTTGCCTGACTTAATCCCAGCCTCATCTACTGAAAATATTTCTTGGTATTCAGTTCACAGTTTCCTTTTGCTTAATTTTATCTCATTAGTCATGGCTATACTTCCTTGGTTAATTCAACAATAATTTCCATTAAAAAAAAAACTCATAATCAATAACTTATGTCAAAATCAGCCTTGTATCAGAACTTTTTCATTTGTCATTTTCCCAAATAAATTAAATATACTGAGGCTACTGATCATTCCATTACTCATTCACTATCCAAGTGAAAAAAAATCTGTTGAAAGGTCCATCATGTGCCAGAAATTGTAGATATAAATACACGTAGGACAAAAATCTTTGACCTTGATCATTTCACAGATTATTCCCCCAAAAAACAACTGGGGGGGCACGCCTAGATTTAATAATAAAAAACAAGAATAAAAACCTCTCTTGCTCTAGATGTTTTCTTTTGTCTAGGGCACATAGTCAGAAATACTTCGAAAATCATTAAAAGCAAAAATCCAGGGCGCCTGGGTGGCACAGTTGATTAAGCATCCGACTCTTGGTTTTGGCTCAAGTCATGATCTTGGGATCCTGGGATTGATCCCTGTGTCAGGAGTGAAGGGGTCTGTGCTCAGTGGAGAGTCTGCTTGAAGATTCTCTCTCTCCCTCTGCCCTTCCCCCCTATGAGAGCACGCACATGCGCACTCTCTCAAATAAATAAATAAATCTTTAAAAAAAAAGTTATAATGAAAACTTTGTTATAATGAAAGCAACTATAACTTAATTGAAACTGAAATTTGCTGTCTCCAAAGAGTAAAAACCTTTCTATTTATCCTATTTATTTTCATTTGTAACACATACTAAGTATTCACCAAGTTTCCATCACTGACAACAAGAACACTCCAGAATGTTCATGAGTCCGTATGTTTCCTAAATGAAGGGATTCTCTTGGAAAGAAGCCACGACTGAAAGCGTGAAGACAAACACCTTTGTGGCCAAGAGTGAAACCCCTGCCGGAAACAGTGGTCTACAGGGAGTGCTAGCCGCATACATTCGGAGGATGCTGACAAATTGGGAACCAGGTAAAAGAACATGCCTCTGAAGCTCTCAAGCTGTTCCTTAAAGACATTCTGAAATCCCTGAACTTCTAAGCATCAGTTTTCTTATCTGTAAATCAGAATAACAAAAGCACATTTCCTATGCTGTCCTAGGCATTCAGTGAAATGAGCTACCAAGTATCAAAGCACACAGCACTTGGTTAACAAATGATAGTTCTGCTCTGTTCGGCTACATTGGAACTACTATGTATTCCCTAGGTTATTATTTTTTTTTTTTTCAGAGGAAGTGTTTGGTTAGAGAGGAGATCATTTGGGGGAGCATCAGGTAGAGGATGATTCACAGTGGTACATTCAAGAGACAAGGGGAAAAGAGACCAGGGTTGGGGAGAAAGGAGCACTGAGCCCAAGGCAGTTTTACATCAATCCACTGCAATTATCTGGAACTGAGAAGTTTGATATGCATTGGCCCATAATGTGTAAATAATTGATTTCGACTGTTTGATAGACAACTGTAGGACTTGTGGCTAGCACGGCCATTAGCTTTTGGTTGGTAGTGCTCTTCTGCAAGCCAAGCTTCCATCATCTAAATAATTCACATGGTGACAGAAGCTGGTGTCTGTTTAAAGAGTCGCCGTGTGCTTGCCAGTCACCGCACAGGACAATGATTTTCCTTGATGATGTCTAGGACTTCACTGTTCATTGACTTATTCCCTGTTACTGAGAGCAAGGAATACGTAGCTAGTTCTTTCTGGTGACAAAAATCACAGTTCATTAATGATCGATTCAATCTTCCATAGGGGTTAATTTGTTCTTTCCTTCCTTTTGGCTGATGGGGCCCAGAAACTTGGATAAACTGATGAAACACTATCACTATCATTGCATGTCAACTAGGCTTCAATTTCTTAAAAAGGAAAAAAAAAATCAAACCAACAGCAGTAGCACTTTTACTAGAAAAGTACCAAACTGCATGGTTAATTGATACAGATTTGAAAGAGCAATGTTAGTAAGTTGCAAGCTCACAACCTGTGAATCTGTGAAAAAAAAAAACAAAACACTTAAATGTCATCTCTCCTGGGAAATTCCTCAGGCAGAGCGAGTTGCTGCTTCCTATGATCACAAACAATGTAACTCACACTTAAAGGATAAGAAAGGATGAAAGAACAAACTGTAGCCGACATTGCTCTAAGCTGGAATGTATCTTTTAGTGCAATAAAATATGTATATAACGCTCATGGTTCCCGCACGGTTACGTGCGGTTCCTGTATGGCTCTTTCACCCACATTCAGCCCGAAAGCTGTATAGGCAAGAGGCTACCATTGGCCATCCACCACAGAGTGAAGAGTTCACAGAATACAGAGGAGGGTAATGGACAATGAGAGCTGCTGGTGTACAGACAGGAGTGACCCGCACCAAAAAAAGCGGGCTTCCGGCATTTTCCAGAGCATCCATGGCAAGCTTCGGCACTGCACACACCTGCAACAGAAGGTAGTGGGAAAAGAGCGGAGCTATAAACGCAGTTGCCAAAAGCTTTGTTGTACTTCAAATGTGAAATCTGAGCAGTCAGAGACACGGAGGCTAGTCTGCAATTACCGGTACAAGCCTGGTCAAAGGAAACAATACTTCTATCCCCAATGTGTATAGAAGCACACTTCAAAGAAAAAAAAAAAAGACAAGAGAAGAGAACCAGTACTATAGGGTTGAGCTGGAAACCAGAGACAATATGTAGGATGTGTCATTTTTGAAAATACATGCACAAATTAACTTTTATAAAATATAGAGCAAATTTGCCAAGCTGTTAGAGATTTGGTGGTGGGTGGGGAGTTTGGGGGGCAATTTTCATTTTGCTTCCCCGAGATTTTGCCACAGTTATTTCACTCAGGCCGTTATGCTTAAGATTTTTCTGTCTCCCTGAGTTGAATATTCATTTCGGTTACATTTCACATTTCAGAGGATAGGACTTCCTGAAAATTTTACATACGAATGAGTGTCCTCCTGGATTTCATAGATTCATGCCCTTTTCCTGCCCCTGCCTCTGTCACACCTGGTCCTGGACCTCGCTGAAGGTACCTGCTCTGCAATTTTAGATGCAGGGGTCAAATTGGCAAGTTGATGTTGGGTGAATTGATTTTCAGCTCACTTCCCCAAGAACTGCTGAAGTTCGAATCTCTATACTAAATCCTTGTTCCATTTCACCTCTAGCTGTTTTCTTTCCCTGATCAAACCCTACCTGATGAAAAAAATGGGAAAGCATTTCAGAGTTTTATGCAGGACAAGATATGAACTGAATAACTAGCAGTCTCATGGAGAATGGATAAAGGGGGTGGCCAGTGTACCTGCAGTGGGGTGTTGCTAGAACCTGGAAAAAAAAATCAGGTGGTGGCTTGGTCTGAGAGGACACCAGTGGAGATGGTGAGAAAGCAGAAGCAGTAAGAAGTACTGGACGTTTCTAACTGGACTTGCTGATGCTATAAAAGTATCCCCCAAATAATGGGCTCCTAAGAAAAAAGTGCCTTCTGGTGCAAATATGCAGGCACTTCTATCTTTTTATGGGGCTGTATGACACAGAGCAGCAGTACTGCACTTAGAGGTGACATTTGATTTGTGACTAAAATATTTTTAAAACCACATAATATTTTTTAAAGCTTGTTTGAATACTTCAATCATGTGCAGGTTCAAGCCTGTGACATGTCTTCTCTCCGACAGCATTGGTCTGGTGGCTGAACAATGGTGACGCAAGATTTCCTCCTCACAACCAGCACATGCCCACTTGCCCGGATACGTATGGTTCTATGGCTCTACTGCATGGAGATTTATGACTTTTCATATTAAGCGTTGTCAAAAAAAATCAATAACCATGCCTGAATAAGGAGGAGGAAATCCGACCACTTCAGAACAATAATGGGACCCAGCAAGTTCTTCAAACAGTGACATAAATAAAACAAAACCACTCAGAGATATAAATGAGCAGCATGATTCTTGTATTCAGAGGAAAATGTGGGTTTCATTCCCAAGGGTTTTTTGGGGGGTTTTTTTGCCTTTTTTTTTTTGTTTTTTTTTTTAGCCTTTTTTTCCCCATTTGACTAAGGAGGTTGGAGAGACATCTGAGGATATTTCCAAATTCCAAATAACAAATATGAAGATGGTGATGAAGATGTACCTAGGAAGTGACTGACACTCCTCGAAAAAGGCATTGACAGATGGGTGCACCTGGGAAAGGTCCCTTCCCCTGGGTTGGCTCAGGCCTTCCCGGTCCTGAGCAACTTGATGTGAACAGTTCATCTAAAATGATAGATCAGTTCAGTCCAGTAATTACTCAAGTCAGAAATCACATTGGGCTGCTCAACTGTTGGGATGGAGCTTGTAGCTTAATTGACTTTGTTTAAAAATTTTTTATTCTTAATTGAAGTACAGTTGATGTACAATATTATATTGTTTCAGGTGTCCAACCTAGTGATTCAACAATTATGTACATTATGAAATGCTTGCCATGATAAGTGTAATTACTTACCACCTGTCACCATACAATTATTACAATATTATTGACTATGTTCCTTATGCTGTACTTTTCATCCCTGTGATTTATAGCTAGAAGTTGGTACCTCTGAATTGCCTTTGTCTATTTTGCCCATTCTCCCACTGCCTCCCCTCTGGCAACCACCAGTTTGTTCTCTGTATCTATGAGTCTGTTTCTGGTTGTGTTTGTTTCTTAGATT